ACAGGCGTGTGCGCCCGTGCGCGCGCGCACACACACACACACACACACACACACTTCCTGTTTCTGCTCATCCATCCCCACCTGGGACATGAAGCATACTGCTACTATTAAGGGCTTCAACACCAGTTTCAACTATTCCTGTGGAGCTTCTCAGTTTCCCAGCTCATGTAAACTTTGATGACTGTTTCACCACCTCTGCAATTTGTATTCAGCGGATCAGTAGGGAGCCGAAAACATCCACAACTGCCAAATTGCAGGGGAGTTCAGAAAAATCTCATTCGTGTCTCCCTAGCCATGAAAGCTCATTGCAGCACCGAAGAGAATTACAAAAATATAGTTGGGCTAGCAATCCCACTTGAATATTACTTATGCTATGAAATGTCAGAAAATAATGGTTATCTTTTCTATCTATTACTATATATATTGTTCTGTCCCATTACCCCTCCCCACATTTTCTAATTAAAATTAATTTTCTGGTTTTTTATTTATTTACATGCACTCACATAATTTCTTCCTCTTGCCTGATGTGCAGAAACACCTTCTTTATGTGGGTTTATGTTTAAAGCCTTAATTCTCATAGTCACTACTTGTTTTGTGTTATTGTCACGTGAAGAAATATGGCAAGATTCTTCCAAAATTACACCTATTTTTGAAGCTTTATACCGTGATAGTGATCTTAGGAAAATCCAACAGAAGTCAATAGGAATGAGTTGTGATTGGGCATTTATGTTCGAAATACACCTCTCTGCCTTTAGTAATTCAACAGCCAACTTTTTACACTTTGTTTTCTTCTCATTTTTTCTGTCTTTTTCCAAAAAGAGACTATAGATGATAATTTTATACGGTTTTTATGGAGTGATTTTTCGCATTCTTCCTTGCATCATTTTCCAAAGAAAGGGGTTTTCTTTAGTTGTAAAGTGACTGCTTTTCAATAGGCAGCACTCTTCAGACCCGTCCAGTGGAGTTTGATCTTTTAAAATCCCTCAAGACAACTCATTCCATCTTCCAACTCTACGTGAGCAGCATGGGATCAGTTCACCATTGTCTGCTTTCTCTCTTTCTACGCTATTTTTCCTTTTTCCTCTGGGTGCTTGCTTGGAATTGGTATGGCCTTATAGAGCAAGAGTTTGGTTGAAGCGTTATTTGCAATCCTCTCCGCACATGGAATCACGAATCATTCCATTGGCTTTAGAATCTAAGCTGTTAATAGGCTAAAAAAAGGTTTTCTTTTTTTTTCTTCTGTTTTTGCATTATAGTTAAGCATGAATATATATTTAATATATTACACTGCTTGGACTGCTGCCATAGCAATCCTAAATCTTGTTGCACTGTAAAATAGCTTGCCTTTCTTATACTCTCCCCACCTCAAGGTTTATTTTTGAAAGCTTTCATCCCATTGCCCACCCACCCCCTAGTATCCCTCAGTTCGTATAATATTTTTAAAAGTCACCCACTTTTTTTTAAAATAGATATTGCCACATTCTTAAATTCATGCATCACTGCATTGCTATTGCACATGGTGTGTATAGAGTAACCGTTTATCTTGCCTTCGTCACACTCATTTACCCCGTTGGAACTGTGCATACGAACCCCTCCCGCTCATGGCTTGTGGACATCTTCCCTTCGGACAATCTTGTAGATGATCCAGTAAAAAATGTTGAAGATGAGGAAAGCCATGGGGAAGGCAATCCGCGAGACCTTGTCTATTTTCTTGGCTCGCTGGAGGAAAAGCTTGCGCATCTCATCGGGAGATTTGGAAGGGGGCGGCGCTGGGTTGGTGGTATTGTTGTTGTTGGCTCCTTTGACTGAGATGCCGTCCTTGGCTTGCAGGCAGGCGGGTCCCATCCCGTAGGCGGAAAAATTGAACCTGCCCTCTCCAGTGTCGTCCTCCTGAAATATATTAAACATAGGGCTCTACTTAAAAATAAGACATAGGCAGTGCACCCTGGCTATAAGGCTCGCTGTCAAGAACTAGGGACTTTTGTTGTGAAGGACAACCCTTCCTCAAAGAGATCAGCCTTATAGATGGGTGCAGTTGAATGCACAGAGGCAAAGCAGGGGATCCATTTGGCGCATGAATCCTTCTATTTCCTTAACCGGATATCCCCTGTTTTGCTTCTGCCCCTCCTCCCCCATCCAGACCTTCTTTACGTTTGGCTCGCCCAGAAGGAGGGGGCTCCATGGAACTCTTCTAGTCAAAGTCATCCCATCAGCACTGCTACAGAGTTGCATGGACTTTTCGCAGGAAGGCTCATTGTTTAAAAGATATCCATATGAGGGATTAGTTTAACAGTGAAACCGTAGTCCCTCCCTTCATAGGATGTTCTTGGGGTTTCTCTTTCCACATTGCTTTCTACAAACCTAAAATGGGGCAAGGCACTTTTAGAGCAGCTAGCAAATGGGCTTAACTTTTTGAAGCTAGTGTCTTATCATGCATGGAAGCAGGGCTGGGATTTGAACTTTTCCTTGGTTTTTTTTTTTGGGGGGGGGGGTTCATAGGTGGGCAGTCCTTTATTTTTTCCAGAATGGTATTCAAACTCATCTGCCTGGAAAGTCCAGGAAAATGGAAAGAGATAAAGGAAGAAGATGACTAGCATCAAGGTGGATGGACCCAATGACAGAGGCAATTGGTATACTATTAGAAGAGCTGAAGGGCCAGGCTGGGGAGAGAAAATCTATTTTTGTCATCAAGAGTTGACACTGACTTGACAGCCCCTAATCAACCAAGAATATTTTAGTTGTTCCATCACCTTTTTAAATTCCTATTTGCCACCTCAAAACAACAAGAAACTGGGCCACTGGTTTTGAGTAATGTTCCCAGTTGGCTGTGGACATTCTCAATCTTTGAAAAAGTTTTGCATCTCATCTAAGAAGCTTCAGTTCCAGACTGAAGAAGCTTTTTGGATGAGAAGTGAAATATTTTCAAAGTTTTCAATTTTGAACAGAAGGTTCTTGGATGAGAAAGAAAATGTTTTCAAAGAAAAAACAAATAAAGGAAGTCCAGTTGCCTTTTGGAAAAGCACCTTTGAGATATCTTCCCAATTGACATTCAGATGCATATTTAGAGGGAATCTGGGGACCACAAATGGTGCTCTCCAGGCTTCCAAGCCTTAAGTTCACTGAATTGTATTCAGAGGAGTTCCGTAAGGACCTATGTGTGAAGGAAGGTGGAGATACCTCACTAAATACTGATTCAAGGGGAAAAAAACCTAATAATTCCTAGGCTGTCAGCAGAGATGGGTTCCTACCGGTTCGGACTGGTTCGGCAACGACCCAGGTTGGCCACGCCCTCAAACCGGTTCCCTGGTTGCTGCCATGGCAGCCATCTTTTTTTGAGTTCTGTGCATGCGCAGAGCAATTTCCATTGAACTGCACATGCACATGCAGCGCACATTCAGCGTAGCCATGAGCGAACTAGCAGTAATGCCAGCTGAAACCCATCCCTGGCTGTCAGGTATAGGAGAATAAACATATAAATACAACTAGACAGAAGCTGGGAGTGAGTAAGAGAGACTGGACTTAGTCCAAACAATAAGGTCAATTCTGGACCATTCAAGGTTTTAATGAAGTACAGATCATGAGAACATAAGAGGAGATACTTGTTAGGCAGTAATTTAGTTCTTTTCTTCCTTTTAGCATTGATTTTCTTGAGTATTACAATTATTTGTGGATTCCTGAAATTTTTGCAGATTGCAAAAGAGACTCAAGAATAAAGAATTATTTTTGTTTCACAGGTAGAGTTGCTGGGAAGAAACTATTTGCTAAATCAAAAGAAAAAAAAATGCCCAGTGGGTTTGAGTTGGGCACTGGAAGGATGCTTAATAAAGAATACTGAACAACTCCAGCAATTCTTGCCTTAGATATAAGCTTCTATTGTGTGTGTGTGTGTGTGTGTGTGTGTGTGTGTGTTCAAATTGCAATAACTACATGTTGGAATATATGCATATCAATATTCCTGGATGAAATACAATTTTTCCAAATTGTAACTCTAGAGTATTTCAGAATAAAAAGTGTTCTTATTTTTTTTATTTCTCACGGACATTAATTACTTCTTCATGTGGACTTTACTTCTGAGTGGTACAGCCAGATTTTTATATACGGCTCTTTTCAAGCTTTTCTTTGTAGAATATCTTTTAAGAATGTCCCCATTTTTCATATTGCATACAATGGATGAGTTGTACAATCACACGTTTAAAGCAAGGATGTATGAATGTTGTTGAGAGAGCACATTGGTACCTTGGACAAATAATGCCGTATGAAGCTTTGAATAATTTAGCATTAGCTGCAAGGCATGGGGCTTACCTGAAGAAAACTTGTCAGTTGTCTCAGAAGCAGATAGCATTATGAGTCCCTAACAATATCTTGTGGGCTTCCAGTTCCTTCTGGTGCTAGCTCATACCAATTCTCTCCTGTAGGAAGTTAAAACCCACTCCTCTACTAGGAAATGAAATATTTTGGGAACTATTAAAAGGGCAGAATATTTCCTCTAAAAGGGAGGCAGAAACTCAGCTCTCCCTCCCCCTTCGTCAATGAGTTATTAAGGCCTGGGTCAATCTATTCTACATAGCAAAGATGGGATTAACCTTCTACCCACCCATGGCATCTTGGATTGCATCAGCCAGCAGGACAAACAGCCCTGGGTCTCAGCACAGCCTACAGAGTTGCCCTGCACTACAGCCTGAGAGTCTCACCACCAATCAGAATGCATTTCTTACACAGGAATAGGAAGCTCTGGGGTGGGGCCCAACAGATGGCATAAAACCAGGGTATTCTCAGAATCTCGTCCTTTTTTCTTCTTCACCCAACATCTTGAAGCATGTGATCACCTTTTCCCCAGGAACCTCAAACCATGTGGTCCACCATTAAAACCATCTTTCTAAGCGGCCTCCATGTTTCCAGTGTCTTTTCCCCACTTGGAACTGAACCCAGAAGGACATGTCTTCTAACACACCCTTTACACAGCTTCACATCAACACAATGCAAGGAACCTTGGCTGATATTTTCATTCATTTATTTCAACTGGCAAATGTCTGAAAGATGGGATTCAAAGTGCTATCTGAGACATGTTCAAGTACTGCGACATGAACTGGCTTGGAAATTTCCCAAATTTCAAAAAGCAATTTGTTATCCAATAACAAATGTTAAGATTTTGCGCCTGTCCCCCATTGGGTGATACAAAACCTTTTCCAAAAGGTTCTCTTGGACATCTAATATTTTTGCTGCTTTTCAAGGTCTTGTTTCCGTTATATTGGAAGAATATGTTATCAGTGTTATCAGTAACATTTTCTACCATTGTTTTGTATTCTCCCTAACTCTGTTGGTTAATCATAATGGAACTGAACCTCCAAATACTGAGGAAAAGAAATAACAATTTTTAATATACTTTAATATTTAAAGTATTATTTCATGTTTCTAGGAATGCTTTTATTGTTCTACTATTTCTCTTCTTAGGGAACTGGTGAAAAATGAGAAACTGAGTAAAAGAAAAATCATAGCAGGAGCCCTGTCCTCATGAACTAATATTCTACACAATTCTAGGAAACTTCTAAGTACTTTAATAACTCTGAGGTATTTCCTTTGAACTATTTCCATGCCAGGATAATATGTGTCCTCAATCAAGTATAGAGTAAAAGGAAGTCAGGAGTTCATCCAACTATTATTTCTTCAATTTTGTTATCAATCTAGGAAAAAAAATATTCCAATTTATTAAACGGCCCTATTTAGATTACAGTGACACAGAAGAATGTGGGTTATCAAATTATGAAGTGACTTTTGCCATTTTAATTTATGAGGGAGATGAGGTGGTGAAAATTATCTCCTACTGAAAAAAAATGAACTGGGGAGTTAAAGAAAGGGAGGGGAGGGGACTTGGCACTTCCTGCCCTTCACACCATTTAAAATTAAACAAAATCCTCTGCTTTTGCCAGCAGGGGGCAGTGACACAAAAGAAGTAATGTACGTTCCCTGTTGGATGGAAATCTGCATTTTAACTGCACCAGAGCCAGAGCTCCTAAACTTGTCACTGGCTTGACAAGGATGAACTCAAGGAAGCTCAGGAGTGAGCTTCTGGATTGAGACTATGGGACAGTCTCAGTGGGGAATTTATCACTACAACCCACTGTAACAAGTAATTTACCCCTCAACTTTCTAAGCTCCACTTGTGATATTCTGCAAAGGAAATAAAACTATCTGGTGGTCCATTCGGTGACTTCTTTCCTATTTTTCCACTGCCAGCATTTAAGCTGATTCAAGACAGATCACTTTTTCTGTGGAGCAGCAGTGACTTGGCCCTGACAGCCTCCGCTAATAAGCTTTTGTTAATAGCCTGCTAGAGAGCCTATATGTTTCTCCAGGATTAGCCTGGTCAGAAAGTTCCTAAAAATAAAAAGGGAGAAGACCTCAATGTATTGTTAAATATTAGAGGTTTTTAATGGAACCGTAATTGTCCATTGTAAGAATCCCCCTTGGAAGTTCCTGAACTTGTTCTGCCATCATTCTTTTTGCTGGTTATAAAAACTTGTTTGGGGTGGTTAATAAAGATGTTGTCCTAATATGAATTTGAAAGTTGGATATTGAATTATGCAGGATGGAGCGGATTGCAGATCATCAACCCGGCTTTCTAATCACGTGAGTCACATCACTCCCAGATGTGGTCATTGTTATATACAGATGGGCGTTCCATGAATATAACTTGGCCAGAAGAAGACTTTATTGCAGTCCTTCACACAACCTTAGTTATACAATAGCAGAGTTGGAAGGGACCTTGGAGGTCTTCTAGTCCAACCCCCTGCCTAGGCAGGAAACCCTATACCGTTTCAGAAAAATGGCTATCCAGCATCTTCTTAAAGACTCCCAGTGTTGGGGCATTCACAACTTCGGGAGGCAAGTTGTTTCACTGATTAATTGCTCTAACCGTCAAGAAATTTCTCCTTAGTTCTAAGTTGCTTCTCTCCTTGATTAGTTTCTACCTATTGCTTCTTGTTC